CAGCGTCGAATCGAAGAAGAAAGAGGCGGATGGGGTTGGTGATTGCAGGGGGTTAAAGGCGCGATCGTGACGTACGGAATGAAAGAGCCGGGGGAGATGCATGTATGCTTGTGTGTGCGAGAAGTAAGTAAAAGAGGGGGAGGGGGAGGAGGATTAATCAACGATCGAAGAATACGGTGAATCGTGATCCTTGAGGAACAAACCCGAGGAATCTTTGAAAATGATGGTAATAAAAATCATCACGTCTGACCAAAAAGTGCTTTTACTACTTGGCTGACGCTATAGACGAGATTAGGTCTTGTAGGAACAGCGGTCAAAATGAGCATTTGAAGAGATCCCGAAAAAGTAAATAACGTCGCGCCGCGAAAAGCACAGGGAGCTCTCCACTCTCGCGAGGGGAAATCGAGTATTAATGAAGTCGACCCTTCGACCTGCAGGACCCGCGGGTTGGTGTGTGTGCGACGCTATTACCTCTCCTTTACGCGAGAGAACGATGGAAGAGATAGGAGAAGGAGGGGACAAAGTAAAAGTGCGAACGGGACGAAGGAAAACTCGACGGGGCTAATCGGTTTTCTCTCTCCCCCTATCTCTCCGATCTCCGGGTTCGGGAGGTAGTTTCGAGACCCTCGGCCAACTGACGGTGAATAAGAAAATAACTTTCCAAGTCGGAACGGTAGCGGCAGCAGCACACTCGCTTAATTCTAATCGCCTCTGGCCGTACCTCGAGCTGTGCTTTTTTTTTTGTTCTTGTTTCCTTCGAGCAGGCGCTACTTTGTGTTCACCGTTTTTCCACCGCTGCATCGTTGCCGTTGTTATTTTAATCGGAAAATACAGTCTCGTCGCGCTCTCTGCAGGTACCATTAGGATGCAGAACACGGCTGCGAGTTTCTCATTGAACTAGACGACAGCTGGCGGACAAAGTACATCATGACACGAGCTCATCTTCTTTTCGATTGGGGTTGCCATATACTACACACATTGAAGGGATGATTTGGTTTTAATATTTTCATCAGCGAGAAAGTTTGCATCGAAAATATTATATCGATTTCCATCAGTATCCAACGCGTTACACGAGCTTATCCTCTCGAGGTTCTGCGACAGCTCGAATTTTGGCAGCAAAAGGGTACAGACAGGAACGAGGCAGTTCGCCGTCGTCATCCAGCACGTCACGCTCGTCTAGCAATATTTCGATCGTTGGCCAAAGTGTCCCCACGCATATACACGCTACGGCGGACTAAATTGCCTGTCAGTTTTCAAGTTTTAGTCACGCAAGCCCCACGTGACAAGTGTTCCGCGTTTCCGCACCCTGGGCACCTGTATTCTCGTCACTGCATCGGCATGACAGCTTTGCAGTTGAATGACAGCCCAAGGCTGTGCAGCCGCACGGAAGAAAGATCGGGTCGGGTGTATTGTACGTGCGAGGTGAATTTGGCTGATTTTTCGGATTGTTCTCTCGCGCTGGTTGAATGATTTAAATTGGCCGCCTGTCTGAACCTCACGAATGTGGAAATTTTTCGTGAAAACACCGATGGGTGTTCTACCGTTTAACGTGCGTGTACGTGGAAAAAACCTCGTGGTTGGCTGCTGCGATTGTAATTAACTTTTCGGGTGTTGACTCGACGACAAGCCCATGGGGGGTGTGACATTTATTTTTTCGACGGCGCAACGGGACGAAGGAGACGCGGAATCGTAAAAAGAGAGAGCCCTGCGTCCCTCGTTTCAGCAAATTAGACTAAAAGAGCGGAAATAGTCGTTGGTAGGGAGAGACCAACGCTCAAATCCATGTCCGAGTGGGCGTTACTTTTTTTTCACCATTTTCTGTGTTTGCAAAAGCTTGAAAATTACCAGGGCGTGAGTAGAGTAGGGACTCGGTCGTCTTTAATCAGCTAAAAATGGCGTGCAAGGACAAAGAAGGGGTTTTTAGGTTGATAGGTTTCTCCAACTCTTGATATTGTTAAAGCTGGTGAATCCATTGGTAAAGCTTTTATCAAAAATAAATATTTGCTTGATAGAGATCACCAATAAATAATCAGAGTGGCGGTATTTTAATCAATCTACAAGTGCGATGGTTATCTTTTAAACGGTTTGTATCTCTACAAGTCAATTGAAGTTCCACTTGAGAAATTTTGTAAATTGAATTCTTTTTTTTTTTCCATAAAAAAAAATAGAAACTGTTATTTGATCGAATGTAAAAATAATATCTAATGGAACAAATGAAAAGCAAACCGAGTTAAACGATAACTTTGTGAGCGGTTGAATTGCTTTCGANTTGCGCTTGCTTTCATTTTTTTTTTTTTTTTTTTTTTTTCATTTGTTTCGTAGTGCGCATCAGCATGTACATACCCAAGGTAGACTCACAACGCAAGATTGCACCAAGAGGAAAAATACATGTTCCCAGCGCTATATATTATGAACGGCACGATTTACGTTTTGCCTCTGAACAAAGTAAACGTCAGGAAATGCGTCTTTTATCCGGTAGATATTCAAGCGAAAAAGCGCACGAAAAATAGGAACATAACAGAGGCACACATTCGTATCGAGTTCAGTTTAGCATTAAAACGAAATAAGATCAGAGGTTCTCCGTTCGAGCTCTTGAAAACTTTTGCCAGCGTGTCGGTAATTCGGTATACGTATATTGTAAGCTTCGAAGTCGGTACGCAGCAAACCAACCCCCTCCCGTGCACTTGATTATACTCGATTCCGATCAGTCGAGTCGAATCCTCCGTACACCGTACACTCTCTCGTCCGCGTAACTCCAGCCCCTTATTCTCGACCACGGGGCACATCCGCGCGATCGTCTCGGCGTACCTACGTAAAAGACCACCCCCTCCCTGTCCTCCCTTAACCGAGAGACCGCAAGGAAATCCGCTTCGGGTCGCTGTGGAGGAAAGGAGCTGCACAAGTGCCGAGGTTCCGTTGTTTGCCCTCGGAGGAGAATCTCTTTGCCGATAGTTCAGCGCGACCCTGTACAGTATTCCAAAACAGCGAGGGGGGGGGGGGAGAGACGAAACGATTGCTCTTTGTGGAAAAAACTCACGCTTACTCGCGATGGGGCGTGTATAATCGTCACGGGCCGCTTGTATCAAAGTTTCGAGCTGCTTACACAAGCACGATATATATATATNAATCGTAAAAAGAGAGAGCCCTGCGTCCCTCGTTTCAGCAAATTAGACTAAAAGAGCGGAAATAGTCGTTGGTAGGGAGAGACCAACGCTCAAATCCATGTCCGAGTGGGCGTTACTTTTTTTTCACCATTTTCTGTGTTTGCAAAAGCTTGAAAATTACCAGGGCGTGAGTAGAGTAGGGACTCGGTCGTCTTTAATCAGCTAAAAATGGCGTGCAAGGACAAAGAAGGGGTTTTTAGGTTGATAGGTTTCTCCAACTCTTGATATTGTTAAAGCTGGTGAATCCATTGGTAAAGCTTTTATCAAAAATAAATATTTGCTTGATAGAGATCACCAATAAATAATCAGAGTGGCGGTATTTTAATCAATCTACAAGTGCGATGGTTATCTTTTAAACGGTTTGTATCTCTACAAGTCAATTGAAGTTCCACTTGAGAAATTTTGTAAATTGAATTCTTTTTTTTTTTCCATAAAAAAAAATAGAAACTGTTATTTGATCGAATGTAAAAATAATATCTAATGGAACAAATGAAAAGCAAACCGAGTTAAACGATAACTTTGTGAGCGGTTGAATTGCTTTCGAAAAATAAAAATGTCAATACCGGTACTTACGGACAACTTGATCCAGACGGGCCGCGCGACGAAACTTTCAAAACGTGCCACTAAATAAAAAAAATCACGTTAAATCAAGGACAGCGCGTTAATTACCTCGAAAAACTTTTGGCTCATCTTCTTTCGTCGGTGCAATACCTCACTCAATTGAGAACTCGTCAGTCGAGGAACTGCAAGGAAATTGCACGTCCGACTTTATTTTATTTTATTTTTTTCATTCCACACCACCGGGCTAAATCGAACGGACCTCGTTCCTCGGATCGACTCGATTTTTCTTAGCACGCCCGAGTACACGGAAACGGCGTCGAGAACAAATAGTCGGGCTGTAGGGATACTCGCGAGAAAGAAGCCGTGGGCTAATTGAATCGGCCGCCCCGGAATGGAAAGAGACCGTAAATCGAGGGAAATTCACGGGCGCCCTGTTTTTCGACTTTGTTTTCCATTAACTCACCCCTTATTTCATCCCCTCTATCCCCCCATTGACCCGCTTCGAAAGTATCGCATTCGTTCGCTGGATTGGTTGTGTATATACCGTACAACCTATATACGCATACACAAAGTTCCAGTAGTAGAAAAAGGGTCGATTTTGTCGTAGCGGTTGTTTTGTTCGCGCTTCTTTTTCTCGCTTCTCGACGCGGGAGACGATAAATCCGTCTCAATGAAAGCCAAACATTTGTACACCGGCCGATTCTCGCTCTAGCGTCCCAGAGCCCTGGGGCTGCAACGCATTCGGCCGGCGCTCGCGCCATTGTTGGCTCCCACCTCCCACTCTCAGCTTGGCTATTCTCCTTTTTGCCACCGGCTCGAAGCGGGGCGTTGAATTAGCGGCCGGAAACTGCGGGACGCGCTGGGTATTAATGGGTGGCGAAACACGCGTGATTAATGAAACGGGGGACGAGATTCGGCGGGGCATCTCTCGCTCGACACGCCCGGATCGTTTTTCATCGTTTTTGTGTGCACGAACTATTTGTGGGTATACAGTGTTAAAATGACTGCAGTGGGTTTTCGTGCACCGTTTTTATATTTTCGACGACTTATACATTTACGTTGATGTGCCATAAAAATGTCAAAAGAGATGGGGACGCATCCGCGTAAAGGCAAATCATTCGCGAGTGACCATAATTCTTTGCCATTCACAGCTCGGTACGCTTAGCTCAGCATTATTCAACGGGAGTTAATTTTTTCCACTGTCAGTCATTCGCAAATGTGTACAAAGAGATTGAAAAAAAAAAAAAAAAAAAAAAAAAAAGAGGTCCTGCTTACCAGACTCGATGTCGGTGTTTCCTACGGTCCACTCCTCGTCCTCGTCAAAGTGGGCATCACCGCCACGGCCCGAGCCAGGAAAGAAAGCATGAGCCAGTATGCTCCCCCTGCCGTCAAAGGTGTATCCATCGCCGTGATTGCCCCTGAGAAAAATCACACGAAAACGTTAAATCTCCGATCCATTACTCCATTTTGTTTGTGTCTCCAGCATAGCTGAAATTTCATTGTTCGCGGTAAGGAGCTGCTTTTTCCGAAAAATAGTCTTTGCTACTTTCGTTGAAAAGTAGAGGTCAAAAACTCGCGACGGGAGGACTGAGATTTTCCAAAAATCCGCGTCAGAGGTGTGTATATAATACACACGCACAACGTAAGATAGCCAATTATGTAAATTTATTTTCCAAAGTTGAGAAAAGAATGCGGCTCCCCACCTTGGCTTAAAAAACTTTGAAAGTAAGTTGGGAAAAGGGGTGTGTGGGGGGGGGGGGGAATTGACTTACCTGTGGAAGGAGATAACGATGTCGGCGTCGTCGCTGTCTGGTAGCTCCCGGAACGTGAGGTTGCTGTGTTTCTCCCATAACTGAAGCGCTAGGTTGAACTCGTTTCTCGCCTCGTAGTATTGGAGTCCTCGGGGAGTCGGATACTTCAAGCTGCACGAACAGGCAAAAAATTCAATTTCAGTGTTGATTTACAGTTGTAAAAGTGTATTGCTATAAAAATTACATCTCATAACTCTGATGGTGAAGAATGTAAAGTACGTGTAAAGGCTATACACTTGCAAGATCATGGAAATTTAATAAAGTATATCGTGAATCGTTTCGATAACGAATACAACAATAATACACGAATGTTTAAGATATTTGCTTAATAATAATCAGAGACGGGCCCTCCCTCCAACTCCTACGAGTATCCTCGAGTAGGTATAACAAACATATACTATGTGTGACAAATTAAAATCTCTATCGCTAAAAGTGCCCTACGCTGTCTGAAAACTTCCAAGTAGAACAAGCAAAGTATGGTCAGGCACGCACGTCAAATACTTTGATTTTCCCAAAAACTTGGAATTGCAAAGCCTCTTCAACTTCTTAACCAATGAAAAAAAAAAAAATGATGTGATAGTCACACATAACAGTAGGAGTCGCAAAAAAGTACGGTGCATCGTATGTAAGTAGAACAAGCGAAATGGGGTCAGACACAAGCGTCAAATATCCATTGTACCGATAACTTGGATCGGAAGGAACTTTCAGCTTCTGCTGCGCTAAAAAATGGGTAATAATTAACGTTTCACTTTACCAGCATTTATACACACGCAGCACACGCTCAGATCGAGGGCTCGTGCTCGCGGGCAAAAGCGCCATTTCCGGCTTGTTCGCGGAAACTTTGCAAATTCATCATCCCGCGGGGGTATTATACCAAGTCCTTTCTTTCCACATCTCGGAGTTTGCGCCATTGAAATATGAGAGTTCAGCAACGCACGTAAGCAGCATCGGGGACTGTGTAGTCCCGCGACTACAGACGGGCAGGGGCGTACATAGCATCCTGGGGCGAGGCGTAAGCCGAAAAAGATAAAACCTCACCGCCCGGACGAGTAATTAGCGGGAGAGAATTAATTAGAGACAGCAGATTGAAGTAATTGCACGCCTGGACTTTGCAACAGCCACGGCCATTAGTATAGTTGGCGCTTAAGCGGCGACTGAGCTCAGGTCCGCGGTCTCTAGCCTTCTTACTTCTCTTCTAAATTGCAACCACAAATCCGAGGCTCGCGAATGGAAATTAATTGCCGCGGTGGGAAAACAGTGCCCACTGTTGCCGCCCGCTCCTCTCCAAATCGTCACGTCGCAACTTTTTACTTTTGCTCTGCGGACTTTTGTCTTCATTTGAATCACCTAGCCTCGCGTGACGCTATCTCTTTATTACTTGCCTTTAATCGTAAGCACTGTGATCAAACTGCATTTATTCGGTAACGGAAGTAGAAACAGAAATGAAATTCGCTCCCTAGCAGGATGTAGATGGAAAAACAGGAATCGCTACGGTGGGGGGGGGGGAGAAGGAAAAATAAGGAAAGGTCGAGAGCTGAATATCCGAGAGATCGCATCAAAGGAGAAGGAGGATCACCAGGGCAAAAGCTGCGGGCTCCTTTGCTCTCGAGACGGTGCGTGAAATTGACGGCGCGGAGACTAACAAACGCTACCCTTGAGCAGACGAAGGAGGAGAAGAGGTATACATGTATACGCTTAATGAGACGGAAAATAATATCTACGGGGAATCTTGCGAAGCGGAGCGTTATTACGACGCTGAATAAATTCGCTCTCGGAAGTTGTGTCCCTCTGCAACGATACGCTTGTTCCCCAGCTCCTGTTAGCAATTATTATACTTTTTTCGATGTAGGGCCAACCTTTATTTTTTTCATTTAAAATGAATCCATAAATTCATCGATTGGATTCGTTGGTGATGAAAGAAAAAAAAAAAAAAAAGGAAAAAAAAGGAGAAGCAGAACTGTACGCTACGTATTGTTGGCGTGAGTGATCGGGTGGAGAGCCCTTGAGAAAATCAAGCGGAAATGAAAAAGTAAAGAAGAAAACGCGAGATGGAGGGGCGAAGCGGAGCTCGTGTTCGTGACGGCTAGGGGGCTCAATGAATCGACAATCAGGCTCGAGGATGAGGCTTTCGACGCGGATATTGCGCTCGCACGATCGCACAATGAGAATCACTCGTCGGGGGCTCGATCGGAGCCAAGCCTCGATGCGTTCTCGAAGTGACGGCAAGCCCCGAGCGTAATCGAAGCTTTTTATTTATCAATATTATTTCTCATGTTATTTCGAGAACGCTGATCCATATATAAGGTGTGCGCAAATTTACATCCCCCCGCTGCGGAATTCGAGAGCCAGACGGGGGGAGGTGCGAAAAAATTTCAATTTCTTTTCGACAGCCAGGGAATTTGCGAAATGCCGATGGAACAAAAAAAAAAAAAATTCCAATCTAAAACGTGTCGCAAGTAAGAGCCTCAACGAGCACCGAAATCAAGATTTTTCCCAATTTTCGCGACTTTATCCCGAAAAATCCAATACCCGGGTCCGCGCCCGAGGAAGATTTATCACCAGCCGTGCGTGGACCAGAAACAGAAGATCGAGTCCCGGGCGTTGGTACAGTGGTATGCGGAACAGCAGGGGCTCGTCGAAAAATACAACCCTCCCCTACAGTGTACCCGTACGTCAAAAGGCTCAGGGGCTCTGCACGCCAATCGAGTTGATCGGCGAACAATAGCCGGCGATTGATCGAGAGCCAGCCAGCGCGTGTACGGCATTGGTGGCTGTCCTCTATGTCATGTCTTTTGTCACCGGTATCGTCAAACACACGCGCTTGTTTTCATTTTTTTTTTTTTTTTTTTTTTTTTTTTTTTTTTTTTTTTTTTTTTTTTTTTTNAGCAGAGAGGGGCCATGATAACTTTTGGATGAAGCAACGACCCACTTGTATTAATTTAAAGTTCATGTGCCAAGTTGGGGGGTGGTGGATGAGGGAGTTTAAGCCGAGAAAATGATCCGCTCAAGGTGAGCGTAAACTTTCGCTGCGAGGCGTCCTGAAAAAAAAAAAAAAAAAGAAAAAAAAATGTTGTGGAGAAAAAAGGACCCGCACGCCGCAGAGGGCAACAAAAGGCGGCGTATACCCCTCGTGCGCGCAACAACCCAAACTAATACAATAAAAACACACGACGATGACTCGGCAAGTGCCTTCATCTTTTTTTGCGTTGTCGAGTAGCTCCGAACAAGCGACCAAAGACACGGGGGAAAGGCGGGGTCGTTGTTGTTGCGCGATGCCCCGAGAGACTAATGCTATTATGCAAATTCCCATTAAGGCTGCAGCGGCATATACATGCATACGTATATCCACGTCGGGTCCCGGGGAAGCTCTCAGGCCGCGGTAAACGTCTCCCTCCAGTAGACTCGGACGAGCCCAAAGAGAGAGAGAGGGTGTGAGTAGGTGCAAGCAGATGGGAAGAAAAGCCCGGTTTTCCCAGCGCCCCATCCTCTCGAGGACACGGCTTGTGTACAAGCTTCACACGAAATATACGAGATTAATGCGACGTGATGGGGATGCGATGATACGGTCGGGGTTTAATCAACTTGTCCGCGCGAGCAGGGAATAAGAAATTCGGGAACGCGTGTTTTGGTTGGCGAAACGTTGGCTTGGGGTTGCTTGTTTATCAAATTATATCAGTACTGCACATTGGAAACGATACATTTTGAGCTGACGTTTCTACAATAGCTTTGTGGTTTTACTTACTTGAATACGTAATCACAGAAATTCAATCAAAAGTTTAAGTATTTAAGCTTGTACGAGCCCCCTAACATCGTACTCATTCGGAGGCTGTATCCATTGCCAAGTTATCTGCAGTTGTCTGAATAAGTAATGCAAACGCCACATTTGGGTCACGGTAATTAGCTTCATTATCCTAAGGATCTCGGCTAAAGACCCACCGTAATTACAATTTTTCCTTTTTTTCTATCTCTAGCTCGGAAAGATGCCTTAAACTTTCTTGTCTCAGTCTCACGAAGGAAAAAAATGCAAAATAGAAGAGCAAGAGGGGATGAAAGGGTAAGGAAGGATGAAAAAGCACTGAACGCAGAAAATACGAGAAAAAGCTCCAAGACACGTTGAGCTTGCGAGCAGCGTTCGCGTGGCTGGGCGCGTTTCTGCGACCTTTGGAGAGAAAATTACGTGAAAAAAAAAAATAAAAAAAAAGAGGCAAGGCACGAGAGTGAGCGAACGAGCGTGGTGAAATTAAAAGCGTCGCGATGAGCTATACAGGGGGTGGTGGATGGGGGGGTGGATGGGAGTAGTAACGTGAGCGGAATGTCCGGCGAGGGTAGTTACCATAATCGCGGCCAGGCCCTGCTTTGGCGCGAATATCGCGCGAAGCCGCGGCAATTAGAGCAATTAAAACCCTCTGTCTGCGTTTTTGCGCCCGGGAGAGCGCGAGAAATTCGATTTTGTCGCTACGTCTCTTTGGCTCGGCGGATGTGAAAAAGTTGCGCTTGCTTTCATTTTTTTTTTTTTTTTTTTTTTTCACACTGAGTAAAAGGTTTACGGCGGAGCACAAAAATGATGACGACGATGAAAAAAAAAAGCCGAGCAGAGTCTCTTTGAGCTTTGGTCTATGTGCACAGGAACATGGGAAAGACAGCTTGGTAGCAAAAAAAGCACGAAATAGTTGAAGCACGAATTTTTCTTTTTTTTTTTTCTTTTGTCTGGGATCATTGAGAAAATTTTTTTAAGCAAAAAAGGTACCCATAGCTCTTTACGGAAAATCGTATTTTCACTGGTTTTTGTAGATGACATGGCTTTTCTCGTTCACAGCAAGTATGATTGAAAGTTAGATTTTTTCTTACAATCTTTATAACCTTTTTATGACCCAATATTACACGATGCATCGTATTTTTAAGCTATCAAAAATTTTTTTTTTCATAGTCAGGTCAGGATAGAGTCAAAAGCGAAAAAAGTAGAGCACAGTTTTCATTAACATCTCTTTGAATTATTTTTCTCGTTGTCAGCAGACAAGACGAAAAAAAAAGGGTACAACGTGAAAAGAAATGCTATTACAGGGGAAAATACAGACGACTCATAAAAAGTTATTTCAGAAAAAAAAGGATAA